TGGTGGTCTCCTCGGGGCAGACGTAGGTGGTAGCGGAGATGACCTCGGTGGTGGTGACAGCAGCAGGCGTGCTGGCAGGGTAACCAGTAGCCATGACCTCGGTGGTGGTGACAGCAGGCATGGAGCTGGCGGGGTAGCCAGCAGGCATGGAGCTGGCAGGGTAACCAGCAGGAGCGGAGCTGGCAGGCATGGAGCTAGCAGGGTAGCCAGCGGGAGCGGAGCTGGCAGGGTAGCCAGCAGCAGCGGAGGACTCGGGGTAGGTATCGTAGGCAGGAGCAGCAAGGGCAACGGCGGCGAAGCCAGCAACAACGGCGAAGGAACGCATCTTGAGAGTTGATGGGTTGGTATTAGATACGGTTGGTATTAAGTAGGGGCGGAGGAGGTCGTAGAGAACGAATGTGATCGGTGATAACCGGGTATTAGCGAGTGTAGTGAGTGTGTGGTAAAGAAAAAACCCAAGAGGCCGCTGGGGAAGACATTATATACAACTGTACACAAGCTGGCCTTGCCGAGAATGCTCACCCCCATCAACAGGGGGCACTTGGACGTGGCCGTCTCCGTTCGGTAGCATCACAAGAGTTTTAGCGTGGCGTCGGGGTAGCGCCGCGCCGCGGGCTGTGCGTGGAAACAGTACGGAATAGGGGGAGGTGGTGGATAGCGTCGACATTGGCCGCCGTTATGAGTCGTTTATTGATACGTGCTGGGTGGGCCAATGAGGACGAGGATGCTGGAAACAAACGAAATGAGTTTGACAGCCTCCCTACCAAGCGACTCATGTCGTCTCAGGATCTCGACTCCCATGCTAACTCTTTTAGGAGCCCTGTCGGCTAGCGAGCGACTTGTGCACGCCGAATCTGCTTAATCACCCGCTAGGCGCGATTCTCCTGAAGCTTATGGTCGCCAGCCGCAGGACGGCAGAGATGCGGGCTGCACAAACATGCAAGAGGGGGACGCCAATGTTGAGCGTTTTGGTCAAGTGGATTCAGTTACGCGTCGTAGGCCACACCGCTCTTGGCTCCATCACTGAACACCTGAACAAAGCGACGGTTAAAGGACCATCTCGAAGGGCTAGCATTGCGACACCCCCGAGGCCCGTCAGCCCCGAGATTTGCTGTGTCCACTCATTGACATATCGAGGAGCCTCCCCGCGTACGCGCAAAAAATAGCAACCTGCTGAAAGGAGAGGGCGCGAATTCAGGCCGTCTGTAACTGTCGATGTAATGTCATTGGCCCATGCTCCCAGTGCATATTGACGGGTTCCTGCATCGCCGGAGGCTTCTAGACCTTTGACTAATCGAGCAAAGGACCGACCGACATGCGCTGCTTGTTGGTACATAGCCGTATGAACACTTGTGTTGTACATTCATGGCAGTGGTGGCCTGGCGGAGCATTGTATAGACACATGTAAGTAGAGTGAGTGGTTGTTGTCAGACGTCAGCGCGAGGCTTCTACGCTGTCGTCGTTTTGACAAGCTTCTTCTGCAGTAAGTCGGGTCAGGCGTGATCCGTCACCGGCTTACGAGCGGTTGCACATTCAGGCGGAACCGGGTACTTAATCTCGCATCCAGTATCGCCTGGAGCGGCGCATGGGTCTCGTGGGCGCTACAGTAGCAGTAAGCTCTTATGCATTGATGGCGGCATCGGCTTGCCTATATCGAAATATGTTAAGCAGCACATAGTGCACCACGGAACACGGCCATCTCGATCTCCACTACCATGTGCGGGCTTACCCCAAGCGGTCGTCATTTCCTTGGGTCCAACAAAGCGTATCGAATCACGGTGAGAATGGTGAGGCGTAGCGTCGTGTTGGTGAGGGTGGTATTGACGGTGAGGGAAATCCAGGCGCGCGCTAGTCGCCCCCCTTGTTCCGAGGTCATGCCGTCCAGGCAAATGCCCCTCGCCCCCCAGGCAGCACGAGCAGCAGCCTTGCTCTTCCGTCCTTGCAGCTCACCGGACGCCATTGTTCTACCCCAACGCCACCTACCTACAGTGTGTCTCCAACTCCTCTTATCTGCTCAGACACCATCACCGCCATCACCGGAAACTAACGTGTCAACCGCGGCCCCCCCGAGTCCTTTAGCCATCAGACGGCCTCGCCGGTTCCATTGTAGAATGCCAAGAACCCAAACCACTGTCCCAAAGGGATGGGACGGGCATGCTATTTACCTCCATGCCCCTTCATATTCAAAGAAGCTCTCCCGGGAGAAGCTCATGACAATTGTATTCCCAAAATCCCATATGGGCCCCAATGTTCCCATCTACAAGCCTAGTGGACCATACACCAATGTCAAGATTACTCCAGTCACAGACTCTGCTCATCCAGCGTTTGGGCAACATGCTCTCTGTGCTAACCAGCAGCTCCCCCCAGACTCATTCATCCTGCCATATCTAGGCTATGTTCACGATCAGAATGATACCAATGAAACATCCGACTACGACCTCTCACTAGACCGAGAACTAGGTATCGGCGTCGATGCGTCCATGATGGGCAACGAAGCCCGCTTCATCAACGACTACCGAGGAGTCTCGTCCGCACCCAATGCTGAGTTTCGCGACATACATGTGGACTGCGGAAACGGCAAGGTGGAGAAGCGAGTCGGCGTGTTCGTCCTCAGTGCTGGTAAAAGTGGAAAGAGGGCAAAAGGCATCGCCCGTGGCCAGGAAATTCTTATCAGCTACGGCAAAGGTTTCTGGTCGGAGCGACAGACAATTGAAGAGTGACGCTTGTGTATGTCTTTTTGAGACACTCAAAATCACTTCATCAGTTGTTCTACTCCCATCGAACAAAGTCTTAGTTTTGGACGTAAAGCATCCTATCAGCCCAAGTACGCCTATGCCGAAAGACACATACACCTGGAAGCGATGGGCCTTGAAATCTGCAGGTGCTCGCAAATTGGACGCCCCTATAAACGAAAAGTCAGGATTTCCATGCAGGTTCCCTGATCGCATCGCTACGTACCACTTAGATTGCAGGACATTCCTTTACAGACCTCGTTGTCGATGTGTGACTCCGACGTGGCGTTTTCATGTGACGTGCGGCACGTTGCATCAGCGAAGGATTTGGACCTTCATCTAGAAGCCTTGTCCATGGTCACAACCCGAGGCACTTCACCCGTGGAATATGATTAGTGCTAAAGAGTTGGACAGGAACGTCACCGCTAAGCCGGAACCCGGCACACGTGCGAGACTGAGCCACAAATGTGGCGTCCAAGCCTGATTTCTGCCCCATAATCTTGTAGGCCTGCAATCGTAGCAATCAGATGCTGTGCTCAGTGATCCGGATTTCTAACATTGTTGGAAGCTCACGCTGCATGTCTTACGCGGGCATCTATTCGATAAGCTGATGGCGATTTGTGAGGCGTATCCAAACTATACCAGGGGTCCTTTGTCGAGATGTGCGGCTGGGATAATTCGGGTTTCAGCCCGACGTCATCTTTTGTAACGCATGGGCAATTTCGCATCATGATGGAATTGTGATGGTACTGAGAAAATTGTACACAGACATCGGCCGTTGTATTCACATGCTGAGCTGTGAGAGGCAACCCACTACCGTTTTTTCCTAACAGCCATGCAGGTACAGCACGCAATCACGATCTTCGTTGGAACTTATCAGTGGGCTTGTTTGAACGATCGCGATTCTACTCCGAGGGTCCTACTTCAAGTCCCTACCGGTGACGTGATTTCGCTTAGCTGCCCCCTCACAACACATGCAGATCATCAAAGGGGACGACTCTACCAATCATAACATCACCCACCAAAAACCCCTGGCTATCCCAACTGGGTAGTGCGAAACGTGGCCGGCTGCTCAAAGCCTGGAAGGGCGGATTCAGCCGCGCTGTGTCTTGAATGGGATCTCCTCACTGGACGTCATGGCCTACTCAGCTTTCGTTGCAAAGGCGGTTAAGTTACCCGAAGGTCATAAAGCTCGGGGTTGCCCTTCTTTGTCAAACAATCTCTGGAATTAAACCATCATCAACCACTTTCGTCCCACAGCTTGCGCGTCACCGTCACCAAAGCTTCACAGCAGCATCACCTCGTCGTCTCGGCTCCACTTCGATCCACACACTGATTAGGCTTTGGTACCCACCTTTCTAGGGCCTCGCCGATCTCCCACCACGCAACGCTCTTGGCATTGTCAAGAGGTATATCTATTAGGGCCCAACCTCTCCACACAATCAGACATCAAACCTTGCAAACCACCAACAATGCAAACGTCAGGCGACACTAAGTTGAACGACACCATGAGCCCCATGTCAAGGCCCGCTTTGTGTCGGGTAAGTGCATCTATAGTAATCTACGAAGCGAGATGTACTAACACTGGTGCTCAGCATCAATCGATGGAGAAGTACATGCTGCTCTCCGCCCAAAAAGAAGCTCTCCAACGTCGTATGGCTATGGAGATCCCCTTCAACGCACCTATGACTCCCAACTCACCCGAATTTCAATCTCTTTCATCATCCCCTACGTCTACCAAGTACTCCTCGTCGTTTCCAACAGCGAGTGACCCAATACCTGTCAGCTCCAGGACGAGCGCGACCCCACGTACTAGTGTCGACGACATACACACGGACGAGTCTCAAAAGCTCGCTGAGATCAACCAGCAGATTGTGGCCACTCTTACTGAGCTCCTCAATACCGACTGTATCCGCAACGATGAAAAGCAACGTGCCTGGATCCAGGAGCGTCTCATGGAAGCAGAACACCAAATACGTCGTGAGCGCCGTCGCCATTCGTCGAATGTTGGCGGTGACTTTGCGTCTGCTATTGCCCAGCATCTTGAGCTTGGTCTCAACACGTCCAAGACCTGGGCTTGAGTCGAGCCTTTTACGATGACGTTTTTCATACTTCGTTCAACCTATCACCTTGTTGATGTTTGTTTGACGTATCTATGACTGCAACGTGGCTATAGCTTATACGATCTTTTTTTAGCGAGCAAAGAGGCGTATGGGATCTGGCGCAACGGGTTCTGAAATGAAGTGCTCAAATCAGGAGAGAGAGAAAAAAACATGATACCCCCCACCCCCCAAAACTGATGACTTAATCCGTTAGCGATTTGAACTGCTAGGTTCTTGTATCATCATTTTTTATGTATTCTTAGTCTTTTTTTTTTGAAAATTATAAACAAATAAATCACGATCATAACGATAGATGCATTTTTAAACCTAATGCTTTTTTTTCCCAAAATGTCCTTGATTTCCAAGTTTCTAGTAGTTGCAACAGTATATTTCCTTGTTTTCTTTTGTTGTCACCCTTGTCCACCACGTGAATTAACCTTTTTGTCCGCGTGGCGTACTCTTTTAGCACGGGGGCCTGCTGGCTACAACAACCAATTATCCCCTCTTCTTTTCTCTCTCGCCCAATAGAAAGACCCGGCGGCACGCTGCGGATATGCAACGGACCCTGCATGTTTTCTAGGTTTTCCCCGGTACCCTGGGACGCATCTTTGCATCCAACAACAGGGTTGTTATCTTTTTGTGATTTTTACCCCAGTAAACAAGGGGAGTGATGAGCGCATGGTGCATTCTTTGTATTTCTCCGCTTCACTTCGTGTTGTCTAGCGTTGAGAGAGGTTTTTGACCGCTTGTTTATCCTGCTTCTCTTCCCCCTCCCCTTTTTTCTCTCTCTCTGTGTACCTTCTTTCTAACCTGCGGATATCGGAAGAGACAAAGCAAGATATGTGGAAACTGGGTTGGGATGTATAGCGTAATATGCGAAATTGGATGGTATGACGTCAGATTTTCTGACTCTTGCCCCTTTGTTTGGTCAACTATTCGTGAACCAAACGCGAGTTCCTTTGTTCTTTTTTCTTCTTCTCTTGGGCATTCTTGCGATTACAGTGAAGCGGAGCATTTTCCTTCTTCTTTTTGAACGGAACTGCGTGGGGAGAAAAAAGAAATATTTGCGGGATTTTGGCACATTGTGCGGACAATTGTTTACGTATGGTTCCCTGATGCACGTGCTGGCTACGCAATGCGATCTTAGTCATCTTGATAGATTTTGTTTTTTTGGTTTCACGATTGTTTTACCCCTCGTTTTGGGGTTAAGGATGCGGAGATGTGGGTCAGGTCATCTAGCAGATTTAGGATGGTAGAGAGAGACTCCTTTGGGTCCTTTGATCCCACAGACTCGACCACCACCCACGTGCGGTCAACTGCCATGCGGCAGCCTTTTCCACCTCATGGTAGAAATTGTGAGGAGATTACAAATGTTCTCCTTCAAATTTCTCTGCGTAACTCTGCGTGTGACGCTAGATGCGCCTTTTGTTCTGGTAATGTTCAGAGGTGGTAAAGTTTACAGCGCCAAAGTGTATGGGTGCACTCCTCGTCATCTCCCCCTTCATTACTACACAAGACTTGAATCGCGGGTCAGGCGGCATGTCAGCTCACCATGGGAGCGCCAAGCCGTACCATAGGCCCATCCATCCATCCATCCATCCGTACATACATACATTTGTCTCGAGCAGCCAAACAACATGCGACGTGTGCAAGCAGAACCGCGCTTGCTACCTGGTCACAACACACCCTCAACTTCTAGACGCGCCAACGCGCGCGCCTTTGTTGAAAAGCATTGTTGGTACTCGTGACACGACGCATACACCTGGAAATCGAAGCGGAATGTATTACTTTATGCATTGACTGCCTACCTACAACCATCACTACGATAAATATATCTTTCCAGCGAACTCTTGAAGACGAAATCAAACCAACCTCGGTAAAGTTAACTCAGGTTAACTGGCCACGTGCCTGCCAACACTTCCCCGCATACTCCCCATGGCGCTTGCACAAAAAGAGTTCGAGCATTCTCGGGGTTTCGGCCATCTCAACAACACCAGCAACTGTGCCCCATGTCCTGCACCTTTGACCTTCTTGGCCACTGAATTCATGAAACTGCGAAAGATCTGACAACTCGATTCTCCACGAGCTGCGTTACTATCTCTTTCGGCGGCTCACGAGGTCATGTCAGCCATTCCGCTCCTGCAATGGCCAGCCCATCGTCTAGTGCGCCTCCCAAGCGCATTCGTCTAAGCCTAGCCTGCGATCAGTGTCGCAAGCGCAAGGTCAAGTGCGACACAGAAATCCCAAAATGCCGGAATTGCTGGCTGCGGGACGAGGTCTGCGAAACAACAGACCCGCGCTGTCCAGACGCCGGCCCCAGTGTTCGACGATGGGCGACCAAAGATGGCCTTCTTCCAGGTCGCAACTCCAATGCCACCCATCAAAACCAGAATCAAGGAGCCAGCCACGCTACGACTCCATCTGCTACCATTACAGCCTCTTCTTCAGAGCAGAATCACCAAAGCAGTACCAAGGACCGGGCCGCTCGCTACGGTAGCAGAACAAGATCGGTTACCACAGCCTTGACAGAGGTTTCGAGACCGCAACAGGAGGCCGTTTACACTCCCAGTTCTCTCGCCAGTGACCAAAACTCGACTGACACAGCAGCTCTATCGTGGGCTTCTCGTCGCTATCAGGAGATAAGGGCAGGAAATGGAAGAGACAGCGGCGCACAAGATTTCGATCCTGACTGTGTAGTGAATACGGATGTTAGTTCTGGAAAGGTCAAGGTGTGTTATTCCTCTTGCTGACATGGCGTGGCTGCCTCAATCTTTATCTAATGTCGTAACGTTAGTACGTGGGTGGCAGCAATTTGCAAGCTCTCGCAATGTTTGTCGACCTATACCTGCGTCGCAATGGTCTACAGGACATGTCGTCTAGTTTTCGGCACGGCATGCATCATGTTGAAGAGTTTTCTCTGGCACCAGAGACGGTCATTCCTTCTCTACCAGATTCACAATCTCTCCAGGTGTACTTAGATACGTTCTTTACCAGGATCTGGCCGATCTATCCCGCCGTGGACCGGTCAAGTGTAGAGGCGGATATTGATTACTTCCACCAACTAGAGCAGTCCAGTCCAGGTGGATTGCGAGGTGGCCTGACTTCTACACGTATTCCTCAGCTTATTGTAATATTCTCAATCATCACACTTGGTGCCGATGAAGCTGCAGGAGAGCCCACAGAATGGGGCGGTACATACCTTAGTGCAGCCTATAGTCTCTTCGCGCATTTGATCGCGTCACCTTATCTCACAAGTGTTCAAGCATCCCTACTGCTTGCGGTTACTTTACGGCATAGATATAAAGATGGACAGGCTTGGCACGTTCTGGCACAAGCAATCAGAATTGCGCACTCGATTGGTCTCCACCGCAACATCCGGTCTCGGTCAGCTTCAGCATCCCGGCCTATCAACCTTACCGGCACCCAAGCCCATGTATCAACTCAACGACGGATCTGGTGGTCTTGCTATGCCTTGGAAAAGGTAATGGAGCTAGAGTCAGGGAGGCCGTCGGCAATAAATGATGATGATGTGGACCAACTCCCTCCAGATGATTTTCCAGAGGTCTTCTCTGAGTGGATCAAACTCTCGCGGATATTCGGTCAGATTACCAGAGATGTTTATCGACAGCACTCAAGCTCTGCGTCACATCTTTTGTCTAAAATTGGGAGGCTTGACCAGCAACTCTCCGAATGGGTAAATGCGACTCCAGAATACTTGAAGCCCGGGCACGGCCTTTTCACTAGCCAGGGAATCGCCCGACAGTCAGACCAGCAACACATATCGAGCTTCATAGCCCTACAGTATTACCAGGTAAGCGAACAGTACATATCCCATTCCACAGGCGATTGTACCAGCTTTAACAATAACACTAGGCGCAGATAACTCTGCTACGCGCTTCTATCGTGTTCTCTACGCATTCCTTCACCGCGGAGGTGAATAGATTAGACCCTACTCTTCCATCACGTGTGCGGCTACTACAAGCAGAGAATATTTGCATTGCCGCTGCCCGTGCCATCGTACAACGGACATTAGAACTGGCTGACCACAGCATCCAATCGCTCGCACTAGCCGCCACGCAGCTATTGTTGGCGATCGTTACTCTTGCTCTACATATCCTCAAAAACCCAAGGAAACTCATGGTCCGGTCGGATTTGGAACTGCTCAAAACCGCTGTAAAGCATGCCGAAGCGCAGTTCAGCCGAGGTGGACAGCCATCTGGCTTCATACATGGATTGCAGACATTGCGCAACGGCGTATCTGCCGCAGTCGAGCTTGAACCTGGTTTGAATGCAGCAAGGTCAAACTCAGTTTTGGACGGTCGATGTGACCATGGCACAGCGACAGATGGCCGTGATGCAATGCCATTGTTCACAGACCAATCGCTTTTGATGTCGGGCTTTATGCCAGAAGCTTCTCTAGCTGGACTTTCTGAAGATATGGGATTTGAAGAGCTTTGGGGATCTTTAGGCACGTATCCTTTCACGGACACTGCTTTACCGAACGAGCCCTTGTTATAGGCATAGATTTTGAAATCAAGAGATTCAGTTCTCACTCTTGCGCACTTGAGGTATTCTCTAGGCTTTGATATGACTCCTAACAACATCCCGAGAAATAAGACTAAGAATTAAAACCACTGGCAACTAACAGCTCCTATCCGTCGACTCCTGATCTTACTTTGGTCATTCCTGAGTATGTAGGGTTAATTTCACTCATCCTCACGGTAAACAGGGAGCAGAATGCTTCTATACACATGCTGAAAAAGGTAGACGGTTAAACGCAGACCGCCGACGACACCAGTGAGAATTCCACAGGCGAGAAACACTTTATCGCGTCCCTTAAGATCGATAAAAGGCTGGACAGCGTACAATGTTCGAAAACTGAGGATATCATGCAAAGCGCAGAGGATGAAGAAGGCTGGGCCCACACGTGTGGGGTAGTAATCGGGAGTGTAGACGATGCCTGTTCAGTTGGCTCCCGCAAAGGCAAAGTGGTATGCAATAAATACAAACACGATGGCCGACCATATCCAGTTACTTTGATTGCCCTGAAGCCTGTCCGTAGATTATAAAAGAGGCAATTCCAACGATGGTTGTGAATGCAAGCGTGACAAGCTGATGTTATGGTCAGTGAAAGCCATCGTTTGACTGTAAAAGATACTTCACGCTCTAGTCAGAATTCTAACCTTTTAATTTATTGTATTAAAACACACTCTCAAGCACAACTACTTCACTTGGTTCCAAGCAGATAGCCTGAACCAAATCTTTGTGTCGTACCCAAATAGCAAGAGCATGCATGCCTTTCCCGCTAAATACAGGGAATGGGTTACGATCACACTCAAGAATGACGCATTGGAATACCAGCGACTGTTACTGCATGCAGAAGCCGAGCAGTAGTCAATGGATACTTACAAAAACTCTGCAAAAGAATACATCTGATCAGTATGCTTTAGTGCTCTCTCGCGCGGAACAGCGCCTTTGGCGACTGCACGGCCATCGCGAAAGAAGCCGTCCGCCAGTCACTGAACTGGTGATTCCTGCCATCGAACAGTTTGCAATAGCCCGTACTCGGCAGTGCGATGGCTGCCGCTGGCGTCTCAATGCTCTTGGAGGTCATGGTTGTCGACAACAGGGTTCTTTTCTAGTCACTGTTGAGCCCCAGTCTGAAGGCTTAGAATGATATAGAGTGAGTTTTGTGATCAAGGCTGAATGCAACGTTGTACATCCTCCACAGTCGACTTGTATATTATCGTAGGTCACTTTTCCAATGACCACGGTAGCTGCATGCCCTGACCCGAAAACGCTTCGGTTCGGATCCGCGGGATGGAAAACTGTTTCCGCCCCGCGGGATATCTATGCTGGGTTCCCCGCAAAATTCTGGAGGAACCAGGATGAAGCGAGCCGAGGAATCTGGGGCAGTGTAGTCCCGAATGTGGAGCCGACATGCATTAATAACACGATGCACTCAGACCGGTATCAGAGTTTGTTATGCCTTTCGAGACAACAAACTCCAATCGACGTGCAAATTACGACATTAGATAGGCCCCAGAGTCCAGTGGGCACAGTCATGGATATCGAATCCAAGCCGCACGTCTCACTGATCGCAGCCGTGCAAACATCCCAAAGCGGTGCCAAGGAACCTCTAGAGTCCTTTGGATCCTCGAGAGAATCAGATAAGCATATTGAAGGCAACGCTTTGTTGATAGACCGACTTGGCAATGTCCGAAAGCTGCCTATACCATCGCAAGATCCCAATGATCCTCTCAATTTCCGGCCAAGGGAAAAGTGGGCTGTCATCTTCAGTTGCTGCTGGTTCTGTGAGTCTCTAAAATCGCAGAGAGCACTTGCAATACGTTGTATCTATGTCTAATTTCTCTTTGTAGCTCTGGTTAGCCTCGCACTTGCAGGTGGCTTAGGCTCCTTCTTAAGCGTGTTCTTCAATATGTATATGCCCCAAGGATACGACGCACAACATATAGCCTACCTACTCACAATACCGAATCTTGCAATTGGACTTGGTGTTTCTCCCATTACGTGTTTTCCAAGCATTGTGCTGACTGGGAAAAGGAAACTATATCATTCTACCCGTGTCGATGGCATACGGCCGCAGACCAGTATTTCTTGCGTCGACTATTATCCTGTTCGTGGCAACGATCGGTGCCGCAGTGCAGAGTGACTATAGCAGCCATCTAGCTACTCGGACTCTACAAGGGCTCGCAACTGGCGCGTCTGAGTCGCTATTGCCTCTGATGTTGACCGAAGTCACTTTTTTGCATGAACGCGGTCGAATCTTCGGCTTGTACTGGATGATACAAACCATTTCCGCCGGTGTGTTCAACATATCAGCCAGCTACATCAACGCCGACTTAGGATGGCGTTGGTATTATTGGGTGTTTGCTATCCTAATCGGGATAGGCCTTGTTGTAGCCTTCTTTTGCGGATTCGAGACACGCTTTAGCCGGCCTGCGACAAGCATCGACGGAGTTGTCATCTTCACGGATGAATTTGGTGTTACGCAAGTTGTGCCCGACGATCAAGCCCAGGAATATCTCGGCCAGGCCAACAGACAGGTGTCGCAAGATGCACAGGATGAGCCAGCTACCCGAACCATGTACGTACAGAAACTGATGCCTTGGTCAAAGCCACACTCACGACCTGCGTACATTATTCTAATGTCATGGGTACGCATGGCACAAAGTTTGACGTCGCCAGCCATTCTATATGTGGTTTTGGTCACATCTATCACGCTCAGCTGTGTGGTGGACATGTCATTGACTTACGATACCGTCCTGCAGGCCAAAGGCTGGCTACCCAAAGACATCGGTCTCATCAACATTGGGTCAATTGTAGGCGGTATACTTGGCTCAGCTTACTCTGTTCTGCTAGGCGAGCGTCTGGTACTTTGGATGGCGCGGCGTGACCACGGCGTCCATAAACCCGAGCATCGCTTGGTAGTGCTGGTGCTGCCTGCAGTAATTGCTGTGGGCATGTTGATCACATATGGCTTCACTGCCGGCGGCAAAACTAGCTGGTGGGGCCCTGTGCTTGCGTATACTTTCTTCTCCACCACGTGGGTGACTGTTCTGATCGTATCTACGACATTCGCTTCTGAAGCTAATCCGAGACATCCGGGTCCTGCATTAGTGATGGTGGTAGGCACAAAGAATATTGTCTCTTTTGGCTTCACATATGGTCTGAATCCCATGTTGGACAAGGGCGGATACTCATATGCATTTGGAGTCTTAGCTGGCGTTCTTGCGGCATGTTTCGTTTTAGGAATTCCCGTGTATTATCTCAACCCGAAGTGGCGAGCGTATATTAGTCGCGCAGGAAAGCAAAGAGGTGTAGTCTTGACTAACGAAGAATGACTTTACGGTATAGCTACATAATATTATGAATAGCTGCAGAGTAATCTCTGATATTGGTTTTACTAGGGATTTCTTAAAGGAGAGGTTCACATGAAGACATTTTTTTGACGTTCTTATACCTCTTGCGAAAAATGACAAAGGCCCTAAGGTCGCCATTTGCATCGCACGATACGTCAAGTGTAGCTTTGAGCAACTCGATTAGCCGTGACTTTTCTGAAAAGGTACGCGCGAACTTGAATCAGTTATTTATATCTTCTAAGTTCTATGAGATAGTCTCTGCAGCTGATGGCGGTTGGTTGCTGAGCTGCCCAACGCCTGATAAGGATAGCTCGACGTGTTTGGGGTCTGGCATCGGAAAGTCTTTCATATTGATTTTTTCCAATAGGATGGAGCTTCGTTGCTTATAAAAATGTTGCAATTACGATAAACAATCCCGATTGAAATCATGTTTAAATGCGCACTTTCATACTTGCCGGTAAATCAGTCTTCGAGAAAAGCAGTGTTCGCAAGGGACAGAGCGCCTGCTGGCTTTCCGTTCGCAAGCTCTTGTAAACCGACAGATCTATGGGGTTGATTTTACCCCGAGAATATTCCTGGTCTGCTTGGAATCTTCTATCTCCATGTTGTTCAGCCTACCCAGAAAATCGATTTTGGATTGGAACGTATATGCTTACATTTTGATCACTTTCGGTTATGGCGTGAAGTCGAGTCTTCATCAGGCCCAACGGAAGCTAAGCTCACTACTCTGGGCCATGCACCGCTCCAATCGCGTACAAATTACGTTTTCATTGCATGGTTCACATAAGGATGAACACCATAATTATTGATACTCATGTATTTAGCCCGCATTTCCCCACTTGTTCAGATTAGCATTTGAACACATATAGACCGAGTGCCATGCGTCTCTTTTACGATTCAATACCTCCACTCGTGCTTGACTACAGACTACAGACATGGATACTTAGTCTCAACGAGTAAGCGGACGGTATCTTGCTTTACATCGTCGCGAGAATCAATATTCTTCAACTTCGCTAAAGGTCTTATACGCACGAGGCAACGGCACATCAAGCTTCCTGCTTCGGTCGGGTCCAAAAATATCAGCTCTCTAGATAATAGATAATCAGCAATGTTCGTCTTGTACACAGTGCCACAAACCTTCACTGCAGGCTGATCTGGTTCAGGCATGAATACCGCCTTGCCATCTTCACCAAAGTACGCAAGATCCTGTGTCTATATGTCAGCATTGCGATTCAAGAGTTTATGCAGAGACCTGAGCACGGACCTTGTCAAATGCGACTTGATTTTTCGAGGCAAATGTGATCCAGTTCTCGCTGTACGGAGCTCTTGCCGCCTCCAGACATCGAAAATGCCAGATCTTCCATTCGTTATCCTGTTTCAGAAAATCAAGCGCGTAATGGCACCAGACCCAATGCGCCCAGACGCGCTTGCCGTCGACATTCTTCTCTGGGGGCTCATAAAGGTCTTCCGGCATGGCACCAACATTCTTAGGGTCTGTTGTACCTGATTCAACACCAGCCATTAGCCAGAAGCCCTTAGCTGTGTTTCCATCTTCAGCGACTTCGATAATTGGTGTTGTTGTTTCGTGTAAGATGAGCTTCCCTTTCGGAGATGGACGTCCAGTGTGGTATTTCATGACGCTATCATAGTCGGTGTATACTCCGACATTTGTGTATTGAGCATGAATGCCTGGAGTGCCTCGGGAGACCCATAGTTCCTTGATTTGCTCATCTAGGAAGACATTGTGCAGATGCATATACTTGCTGAAAACATTCTCCACTGCACCACGATCATGCGCCTAGTATAGAATGTCTGGTGAGTATAGGTTGTCTGGAATAATCCATGAATTACTTACGCGCTGTGCTAGACGCTCGGCTGCGACAACCCGAGCTTCGAGCCTCGAAATGGCGTCGTCATTCATCATGCTCAATCGGATTCGAGGAACAAATCCGGAAGTGAAGACTGCTTGATGAGTTCGGAATGCGTTTGATTTGAGATATAGTTATCTTCTTTGCGAAGTGGTGCGTGGCAGATGGTCTTTTATTCACGCATCCCGAGTAAACACGATAGCAGAAGACCTATCCTCAATGAGCAGATCCGAACCGAGGATCAATTGGATAGTCATCTCCGAGGCCTAAATCTTTCCTCCACAGGCTCAATGACCCTTTCTGATGCGATGCGGTCGCTAGGCTTCCCATTGGAGGTCTCTAGAAATCCTAGCCAGTGTGGATAGACAATCCTCGTTCACTGCTCCGAACCGAGGACATGGACCCTGAATGTCGATGCTTGCTGCGGGGCATGTAATCCGCAACCTTCGGTTCGGCACAACTCCGTTCACTACTAGCTTGATTGGCGTGAGCGCCACCAGAGCGGTAAAACGTGGAGGCCGTTTCCCTTGAACCATGAAGAGCGATCCGTAGGTATTCCATAAAATTCACAATGATAGAGTATGCAACTGAGCTCCCCCCAGCCTTGACTCGTTTTGGGACTTTGTCAAAGCGAAGCGGAAGCTTATCTCTACTACGTAGGCTAGCTCACAATGCACGGAACTTCCATTTAAGTGTAATTACAAAGTATTGTGTTACAAGTAACAAAGAATTCTCTCCTTAGCAAGTCACGAGAAGGCAAGGAGCCTATGGACATCCACATCAGAAGGAAATGGTTATCGCGGCGCTTAAGGTCACGTAATACGCTATCCTGCTAAGAGTAACTATCTAAAGGATAGTAAGACGCCTTAGGATAGTAGCTAACATGCCGACACATCGCGGGTCCGTATTTGTCAATCAACCTTGTTTGCGATGATTTGCTCTCGGCCCAAGGAAGATCTCTGGCGTCTGTGTTCCGACATTCCGACGCGTCGACTCTTTGTCTTTGGTACCCCGACTCTTTCGAAGCTGGGGCTAACCGGGACCCATGAGTGATTTGACGAATCAAGAGATACTGTCTGTGAACAAGCACAATTGAAATGCATCGTCAGTAGGTTAATTATGGCCAATCGATTGCACTCGGACTCTTTCCAATGCATTCGATTCAAGACAAGGTCTCGATTTGACAGATCGTTTCCTCGGAGCAAAATAAAGTTTACTCTACAAAATGCCGCATTGACACATAGTAACACTCGCTGCCGAGTTCATCTTGTGCTTTGTGATGCGCTGTAGAACTCGCCTTCCGTCAGCGCTTGGAACCATGAGTGCTCGTTCACGCTGGTTCCATCAGGAGGCGTGCCTCTAGTGCTGTCACAGACCTCGGCCCCAGCGAGCGCTAAATCAGGAGGCGTAGATCGAACTGTATCCAAATGAGCAAGGCCCGCTGCCGCAGAAGCTGCACCTCTCGTCGCCAACAGACCGGCTGTATTTTCTCCGTGAGTATCAAAATTTTCAGCCACTTTGTTTACCAATGCGACAGTCGAGTTGTTGAGCAGCGTCAGTGCAGACCCGAGGAAATCTGCCGATTTACTCGACAGGCGCAGCATCCACTTGTATTCATCTAGCTTCTTTCGGTACTGGGCTGCTTCGTCCTCAGTATTAGATGTTACCCATAGGAGAGATATGAATGAACCGATGAGGACAAAGTTGTACTTTGACGCAGAGTACCAGAATGATTGATGGTGCTCGGGCCGCAGGGATTGAACAAATCTCATGGCTGAAGTGAGTCGTGTTTGGGCTGCTTGACGGCAGATGAAGCACAGCTCTGCATCATCTGCCGACGACAAAGAGCGGATGATTCGCCGATGTAACGTCATTTCAACAGCATAATAGCCGAGATGAAGATAGCCTACGCTAGAAAGTTTTCTCGCAGCAATGTCTTGCATTTTGAGGGTTGGCGGCATGTCGGCATACCATTGACGCAGGGCAAGCTGCAGCGGCTTTGCAGTGTCGAGAAGCGAGCGCACGCCTTCACTCGCACGGCATGCAAACTCGCGTTCAGCCCTGATTGTGTAAAAGGTTGTTAAAATTCTTCCAAGAATCTTTGTAAGCTCAGCCATGTAGCAGAACAAGACGCGACCCTTCTCCACTTCTGTGCTTCCGTCTTCGTCATCCTCATCTGCGGCGTTTTCGGGGAAGTCGTATTCGTTGAGTGGTTGCGCCTCCCAGTCTGATGGCGTAATGTGCGAGGGTCTGCCATGGATGAGGGAGCCCCATTTGTCCTGCATGTATACAGCCCACGCCAGGCGCTTTCGAAGCCCCCGCTCCCAGTTTGGAATGTGCCATTCTGTGCAATCGAGGTGGAGACCCATGTCCTGAGCAAGGCCAACAAGTTGCGTCGTCATCGCCCAGCTATTCTCCTCGTGTCGCTGGAGAAGCAGTAAACCTGCCTGTATGGTCGAGAGCTTGGGCCGATGGATAATATTACTATACGATTTCATGGCTAGCTCCTCGAGATAAGACACATCCGGTTTCGGTAGCGAGGCCAACTCGGTCGAATACGACCACCAGTCCAGAGCTAGGAGATAGACTGCAGCAAGAAGAGGCGGCGAAAACTCCCTGTGCGTGCGTGCATACTTTTCTAGAAAGACTTTCTTATGCAAGATTGGAAAGCTAGGATGTACAATTCGGAAGTATAGGTGGATCAAAGCGGATCCGTGCGGTGCGACAGCTATTTCTATCGCGTCTACATCTGGGATATCATGCTGATGGTTGAGTGAGCCGACATCGGGCGATGAGATGAATGTCGTGGCACCTATATTGTCCACGCGCCTCAACGTAGACGGTCCAGCAGATGAACCAGGATTTGGAGGGCTTTGAGTTGGTTCATATGAAAGTAAGAGTGTTTCATACTCTGAAGTAGATCCAAGAAGACGGCTGTGCCTACCGGTCTGCAATCCCAGCGTCTTCTTCAGGAGTGAGGGACCACGAAGGTTCGCGTAATCGTCTATGGGTGGATCCTGACGGATCGTGGCGGGCGCATTCTGAGGCGACGTAGAGGCAGTAGTACTGCTCCTACGACTGTTTGGTGAATATGCCAGTGGATTTGCGACAGATTCGCTGGGCTCTGTGCTGGCATTGATCATTAGTGCTCGTCGTTTTCGCGGTGGCGGGTTTTCGTTGAATGTGCATTCCTGGTGATGAAAGCGGCATAAAAGGCAGGGTTGATGATCATCTGGCTTCTCGCATCGTGACTTGCGTCGACGGCAAGGGTCGCATGGCCGTCGTGATCTTGCTTTAGGAGTGTTTTGGAAGTTGATTACTTGCGGGAGGAAGTGGCTTGGTGCGAAAATCTCATCCGGAATGATTTCCATGGCTGCTGGTAAGAATGTAAGGTATAAAACCTTTTGTGCAATAGATGAGACCCGGTGGCATTGGCAATGCTAGTCTGTGGTTGATATTTTTGCTGTGACTGATTCATATCCGCTCAGGCAACGCCTGGTAGCTTGTTGTGATGCTCCTCAGTGCGCTACGAACATAGCTCATTGAACAAGCTTGATTCTTAATGCATTTCGGATTTAACTATCCATCGCCGTAGAGAAGACCCTTGAGCCAATGATCGTCTGATTGACCATCAACAATGAAAGTGGATTAATTGAGATGTCGTTGAGGCACATGATAAGAAGCGGGAAAAGCCAAGCCAACCAGGGCGCCAATCAAGCAGGGATTAATCAGCTATATCACTAGGAGCAATGCCAGCTTCATGGTGCCCAAGAAAACACGGGCATTGGAAAACAGACACCATAGGAACAGCGATTTCTTTGATTTGGCCTTGATTTTCTAAACAAGTGCGAAACTATCCATGACGTAGATTTCTAATTATCAATATCTAAACTATTTCCTTTACTCCCTTGGCTTTTGCAACCGTTGTTTCCTTGATTGAGACTTCTTCGCCTTCGAGAACAGACGATGCGACATCTTCGAGTTGTGGGGGATATACCGCCGACTCAACCAGTGACTTTGTCGGCACAGAAATGTACATGCAAATCACATAGTGCGTCAAAGTTGACAGACAAATTCCAAAGGCCCACGCGAATGTGTAGATTTTCCATGCGCCACCGATTTCAAGTGTGTCATCGATGCTTTTCGCAAAGCCCGGCAGGAGGGGCGCGACGCCTGTAAGAAAAGACACCCAGGCTCTCCAGTTCCAGCCGTAGTCATACCAGTAGATGCCATGAGAGGTGTATAGCTGATCGACGTCGAGCTTACTCTTCTTGACAAGGTAGTAATCACTGATCATTGTGCCCGCAAGAGGTCCCATGATGCAGGAGTAGCCGCCTAGAAAGGCAAGTAGTCCTGACGCATTCCTGACGATATTCCAAGGCGTGCAGGCAATGGCAAAGATTGAAAGAAAGACGGTAGCCCTGAAATTGTTGATATATTTGGGCATCATACCCGATACATCGTTTGAGAAGGGATAGGTACCCGCCGCAATCTGGTTGCCGATGGTCGCAAGGAGGAAGCTTGCAGATACGAAAAACTTTGCTGCCCGGGAGTCAAACTTGGCAATAACATTTGGCATGTACCACTCAAAGTCGCCCCATAGATATGAATGGGCGTCGGTGACGAATATTGGCGTCAATGCCCCAAGTGTTCCAATTATGGGAAGAGCAAGGAACTGATGGTTGCCAGACATCCGGTTTTTGGAGAACCTGCCAAAATCAGGCATGTTGGTTGCCAACGAGGAGAAGAGCCCAATAACAGCGTTGAGTCCTTTTAGCACTGAGTAGGCGGTATTCATGTACGTTGAAGTCAATTTCATTTCTCCCTTGATGAGCGGTCCGCCACTGACAAACAGATTAGTATGTTACACTGTTTCGGATTGCAAAAGGACCTCACCCTTTTGTGATTGTAACAGCCCAAATGAATAAGGCCAAAAACGTTGGGGGGACTACGATGCTCTTGATCCAAAACAGAACACGCAACTTGGAAATTTTCATGAGCGCCAGCCCAGTTTGTAGGAACCAGTACAAGAACAGGCAAAGCAATCCAGCAGCTGAATTTTCGTTAAAAATTGGTCAATCTGTCAGTAGATACGGAAACTTACAATCAATCCCAGCACTCTCGGGTAGGTGATTCGGAAAAGTGATGAAACTCGGCCATATGGCTTCGATGCAGCGCTGGAGGTAATTGCTGGCTTGGACTGTGAGGATAGCAGTCCAGATCATGGCAACGAAAGATCGAATAGCAATGGCTGGGATGGAGCCGTACATTCCAAAAACACTGCGAACAATGACTGGAAAGGAAACAGCATACGTAGCACCCATTTTAGCAGTGAGGGTGATGACTACGCTACAGATGGCAAAACCAAAAAAGACGATCGGGATTGTTTCTCTAGCTGTGAATCCCAGTGCCATGACACTGCTGACAGTCGAAATCAGAGGAGGAGCCAGCATATCTGCACACCAGTATGCCCAATAATCCAGAGCGCCCCAGACGCGCTGTTCTGGAGGGATTGGATCCATATCTGTTATGAAGTAGACCATCAGTATCGTTGCAAACCAGAAAGGCTCGAGTGACTACGCACCTTGATTCGACCAGCGTGAGCCATACTTTCCGCTCTTGAACGGAACTCTCAGATGGAGGTGAGGGGCAAGCCTCGCTTTCAGCCTCGCCTTGAGTACTGACATGTTCGCGTTTATTCGAGTGTGAAGAACACGAAGCAAATACCAAACATCTTGTTCATACTCATCTACTAGCGATCCGTTTAATACCAAAGACAACTTGGCTAGGGCACGGTGCCCGGATCAAGATCGCTTCCGCAGATATCCACATTGGAGGTTCCATCGCGACAACCCATGTCTATCAAGATAGGAACTCTCGGCGCCACGAAGCACGCGTGAGGGCATGTATGATTTTCGGCAGAACCATGTTGATAGGAACCGTAGAGTGAGAAACCAGGTTTGCCTTGACCTGGATATCCATGAGTGGGGCTTATCAGAAGATGCGTTAAACTGGATTAGGGTTGGTACTGGTCTGATAAGACCCCAGAGTTCTCGCGCCGCCGCCCGCCGTAGGCCCGCTGCATACTCCGCTTTCGGGGCAGTTCGCAGATGACAATCTTCATTCAGAATGGGTTGAATGCTAAAGACGCAGCACCTTGCTGCACGCTTGGAGCTCTTCTATTACCATCGTCTATTCAGCTAATTCTGAACATTTCGACTGCCTCCTTGTATGTCGTCCTGACCAGCGTCAAGTGAACGCCTATGCTTAGATACCATGGCAAAGACGACTGCGAAACCCAACATGGTCTCTTTTGACGCAAAGCCATATGCCTTTTCTTTTCCCCTGGATCACACTGCATTGCTCATTATAGACATGCAGCGCGACTTCCTACTCCCTCAAGGATTCGGTGAGATCCAGGGTGGAAATTTGGAAGCAGTTCAAGCTTCCATTGCGCCCACCAAACGACTCCTGGACGCATGTCGAAGCGCAGGCTTGACTATTGTTCATACACGCGAAGGCCACAAACCGGACCTCTCAGACTGCCCTTCATCAAAGCTCACCAGGCAAGAAGCAGCTCCTGGTAACACCCAGCACAAATTAGTCATTGGCGACAAGGGGGAGCTGGGTCGCCTGTTGACCAGAGGAGAATACGGCCACGACATTATCGATGAATTGAGGCCGCTGCCTGGTGAGGTAGTTGTAGACAAGCCCGGAAAAGGCTCGTTCTGGAACACGTCCATCCTACATCAGCTCAAAGCGCGAGCCATCACACATTTGATTGTATCGGGCGTCACTACAGAATGCTGCTTCGCTACAACCATTCGAGAAGCAAACGACCGCGGCTTCGAATGCTGTGGCATCGAAGAAGCAACCAGTGGATACAACGATGCATGCTTTAAGAAGCCAACATTAGACATGATCCACTGGTCACAAGGCCTCTTTGGCTTCATCGGCAGCCTACAACCCCTCGTTGAGGCTCTTGAGCCTTTCTCCACAAAGCAGATTCAACTCGCCTCTACGCCTCCTCAAACACCACCTGAATTTGATGGCGACCTCACAATATCCAGTCTACAACGAGCCTACAGGAACGGTCTTTCCCCTCTGACCGTCATCGAAGCAGTCTACAGTAAAATTGAAGCATACAAAAAAATCGACCCAGCAGTATGGATCCATCTCCAACCACTTGAATCCGCTCTAGAAGCCGCTCGAGACCTAATCACAAAGTTCCCCGACCGAACTGCTCTCCCCCCTCTCTTCGGCATCCCCTTCAGCGTCAAAGACAGCATCGACATTGCAGGCCTCCCCACCACAACCGCCTGCCCACCCCTCGCCCACATCCCCTCCACCTCTGCCGTCGTCTATGAAAAAGTCATTTCCCAAGGCGCAATCTTCATCGGCAAAACAAACCTCGACCAGCTCGCTACAGGCCTAGTCGGCTGCCGCAGTCCCTACGGCACCCCCCACTCCGTCTACCACCCCTCCTACATAAGCGGCGGCTCCAGCAGCGGCAGCGCCGTCTCCGTAGCCGCAAACATTGTCTCCTTCTCCCTCGCCACCGACACCGCAGGTTCCGGGCGCGTGCCCGCGGGTCTAAACGGCATCGTCGGCTTCAAACCCACACGAGGTACCATCTCCTTCCGCGGCATAACGCCCGCCTGCCTATCCCTCGACTGCGTCGCCCTCGCTACAAAAACCATCCCAGACGCCCGCACGCTCTGGCAGATTTTGGAAAGCTACGACCCTCTAGATCCCTACTCCAAACCAGCACTAGCCTTTGAACGCCACATCAACAGCATCGGCCCCCAATCTTCAACCTTCAAATTCGGCATCCCGCCACAGGAGGCGCTGGGTGTTTGCTCCGCTCCAACCCGCCGTCTGTTCAACGCCACGGTGTCGAAACTCCAAGCCCTCGGCGGCGTTCTAACACCGATCAATTGGTCCCCCTTCCACAAAGCAGGGGAGCTGCTGTACGAAGGCACTTTTGTATCCGAGCGCCTCGCCTCTCTCCCTGATGACTTTCTCGACAAAAACCGCGGGGGATTGCATCCCGTGACGGCGCAGCTGATGGATGCGGTACTGCAGAGAAAGAGCTCGGCGGTAGACGCGTATCGTGATTTACAAGCCAAAGCGCTGTATACGCGCCAGGCAGAGGACGTGTTTGCGTATTCGGCGCACGGAATAGATGTGCTTGTTGTGCCGACGACGCCGACGCATTGGCGGATCGACGAGGTGCTGCAGGATCCGATTAGGAAGAATAGCGCGCTGGGTGAGTTTACGCATTGTGGGAATGTGTTGGATTTGTGTGGGGTTGCGGTGCCGGCGGGGGAGTATCCGGTTAGGGAGTTGAGCGGGCGGGAGGAGGATGAGGGTATTTTGCCGTTTAGTGTGACCTTCTTGAGTGGATCGAGGTTGGATGCTGAGATGTTGGAGATTGCGAGGCGGTTTGAAGAGAGTGTGCGTGGGTAGGAATTTGGCAATATCAGTATTCACTTGAAACAACACGTCATAAAAGTGTGCAATGCAGAGTGTGAACAAGTATCGTAGTATCATAGCCTATCAACAGCGACCCTGCATAGGATCAATGTTATACACACAAGAGAAGAACATGACAGAAACAACAAAGACCAAGTGCGCTGCACTAGAGACCCAACGCCACATTTATACCAAGCAAAACGCCATCCTTCATGTACGCTCATTTCATTCAACATTGGTCGTATCGTCATCCATGTGCATTTTATATCGACAGAGCAACAGCAGCAAAGAGGGCGAAGACGAAGCTGAGCGTTGCTCCTCCCTGGACCCTGCTACCAGCACTGTCTCCATGGATACCGAGAATTTCTGCTTGCCTGGAGAATGTAACGTTCTGCGGGATCGTCTCGTTCAGGCACTGTCCGTTGACAATGTCGAGACCAGTCAGGTCATTTGGCTCGCGGAAGAACATGTAGCTGCGGCTGTTCAAGCCCTTGAAGCCCTCGGTGTTGTAGGGGAACCACATCTTGTCGTCAGTGGCTGACGTGTTGCGCAAGAAGATGCATTGAACCTGGTTGGGGTAGTCGTGGGCCATCTTAGGGTAGTCCTTCATGACATCGCTGTTTGAGGTGTCGGCGACAAGAACAAACTTGCGCTGAGGAAACGTCTCGAAAATCTTGGTGAGGAGGTATAGACGGATGGAGAGGGTGGCCTCGACGTCGGAGAAGTTGAGCGGGCGAGTATCGAAGGACCCTCCTGGGTAGGTCTTGTAGATAAAGTCCATGTAGAGGCGGGTAGCTTGTTCAGGCGTGGTGGTTAGGTAATGGAAGTGCGTGTTGTTGGGAAGAGTGCGCGACCAGTTGGCATAGATGTCGGGCATGTTCATCCAGGGAGTGAAGGGGCGGGCGAAGCTGTTGAGGAGACCTTCCTTGGGTTCGTAGATCTTGGTCACACGCAGAATATCGTCAATGTCCGAGATGAAGGTGATACCCTGAGGGGGGACCAGGAAGGCAGTGGCATTGCCGCTGTCTGTGCCATTGGTGTGAACGTTGAGGCGCTGAACGTTGTTGGTCTGGTTACCGGGTGTGAGGCCGTTCAACTTGATGGGTACGAAGACGTCAAAGTCACCCAGGTCGGTAGTCTCGTAGGGAAGGGTAAGGGACTGGGTTCCGCCAGGTGCCTGGACCGAGTTACCGCCACCAGGCTCACCATCAGCGCCTTGCATGGGCGAGGGCTCAAGGCTCATGGAAACATTCTTGTCGCCTTGCTGGACAATGAAGATGGAGCGGGTGAGGTTGCGTGCCTGTTCTTGCTCGTTTTGAGGCAGCTTGTCGATGCTTGTGTCAATCAAAAAGACATTGGCCAGCTCATCGACCTTTTTCTGATCGATATCCGGGTACTTGTAGACATTGCCGTGGAAGCGGACGTTCCAGCCCTGGTCGGTCCAGTTCGCATACGGAGGAATGTTGAGGACTTGAGTAGGCTTCGAGGCCAAATCATCGTCGCCAATATCAAGGGACTTGAGGACTTGAGAGCCCGTGGGGAGGCCTTCGAACCACGCTGGAATGCCTAGAGAAGAAGTGTCAGCATAAGCTTTACTAGCGCGCTCTATCCCTGAAAGAGTTGCTTACCATCAGTAAAGAAGCTGGGCAGGTCTGAACCCAGCACACTGCCTAGGGACTGTGCATAGCCCCCAACGCCGCTCTTGATGTCGTCGATAATGTCTCTCTGCACGTAGCTCATCCGGCTGTCGAATCGGACGGCGGCTGGAGTGACGAGTGGCTCACGGGCCTCAACCACCTTTGCTGGGACAATCGTGGGCTCTGGAATTGCAACTGCACCGGCGAGACCAACAGCGGCGGCCAGTTGCAGCGCGTGCTGCCATGTGCGTTGGTGGACCATGCTGGTGTTGTAGTGGTGACAGCGAGTGGAACCAAGGAGGCGAAGACGTGCTACTCTTCCTCAAGAATAAGAATGGCAGACTGAAGAAGACAAGGGAGTGCGGGGGCAGGAAGACAGAGGCCCGCAAGAAATACGTAGCGATCGCAAGCCACAGCCACACTAATGCGTAGTGTAGTGTTGAGTGATGGACAGCAGCAGGTTTACTTAAACAAAAAGCCCGGGTTGCGTGTCGCTGCAGGTACGGGCGCCATGATGTCACTGTGGGCGTGGCTTGGACCGGGTCTGGCCAGTGTTTGATCGCGTCTTGTCCATCTGCGCCCCCCTCCAAGACTCCAGTGTCAGGTAGAGTACGGTACAAGCTCTGCCGATCTACATCCTGACGGCGGCATCTTGGTTGTAATTGCATCATTCGAAGACTGCGCACGCACACGGGGCTGCTTCGAGTGGCTGTGTCAACCATGTCAATCATGTAAATGCACTTCTGCCGAGGTGAACAGCAACAAGACCGGCCATGCACCATCTTAGCCCGCCACAAGTCCTATCTGCATCTGCGATTACCGAACCGTCGATCTATACTAACTCTTTCAATAATTTCCTCAGATCGAAGTCCTAGTCTTGATGCGATTGAACGCCCTCCAGAGGACTTCTCTCCTTGACTTCGTGCTGGCTCCGGCAGTGTTACCCTGTGTTTCTAGCCCATGTTTTGCCCCGACCAGGTCACGTTTGATAGTGTGCATATCGATTCATGTTTCTCTCAGTCTGAATCCTCCAAGCTTCAAGGAAACTTGGCATTGCGGGTCTAGATAAAGCTTGGCGTACTTTGTGCAGGCAGGCTGGGGGTGGGGTGTAAATGCGTCGAGTGCATGCATTGCTGCCATGGACGGTGCATTGTACTTGGCTTGCTCATGTGGCCAGTTGTTCTCAATATCGTGTTTGAGAGTCGATAAGTTTCAAATAAATAGTCACGTGTATTGTCGTGTTTCATTCTGGAAGCTCAGTTGACATCCGAATAAACTGTTGCAAGTTTCAGTTCATCGCAGCATTGCTGAGGGGGCTTCCATGCAGTATACTAGGAGAAAGGATTGAGTTGATTGGCTGTATCAACACTGCCATAGATCTGATATCAAGTCCTCTAGCCAAGATGAACGACATATTACAAGATTCTGGCTACTCGTCCTTTTGGTTGCCGCAGCTACTTTTCAAATACTATGCTAAGCTTCTTGGCCTTTTTTTTTCTAATACGGATATCAATGGTCCACACTGCAGAGATGCGGGTCTCGGGAATCCTGAGTCCACATCTTGTCCAGGTACGCTGCTTTGTCCCTGCATACCAGTAGCATGAGCATGCCGTTACAGCCGCAACCTCGGTGATACTATGGCATATTGAAACCATTCGCATCTGAACCTGCTTGAATGCCTAGATGCTATTTTAAGTCGGCTGCACGCTGCTTGGCAAATGGCGGGGTACAGAGGGGTGCGCACGTGGTTCGTTACGATAAAATGGCTTGAAAAAAGGAATATGTATGTACACTTTGCTTGTATGACACCAAGAAAGCAAGATCATAAGATTACCCAAAATAGATGCGATGAGGCGAACTCGATTCGTGTGAGACACTAGTCATGGTACGACTTCCGCGCAACCTCCATCGGAACATGCAGTAACGCGTCAAGACGTGTTCAACTTTGCTTTCATAAAAAATTCTAGTATCGTTTTCTAGCGCAAATTATAGCCCTGGATAAACATTGCATGTGGCATAGATTACCCACAACACAGTGGATACACCGCCAGGAACCAGCCATCCGCGCCCTCATTGCTGGGAATAAGGCGTCCTGTCATGACGTTGCAACCCGCATTTTCTCTTTACCACACCAGCTGCGACCTTTCCCAACCCAAACAAAAAGCGAGCCAAATCTGCAGATGATGGTTCGAGTCAAATGCGCCTTTTTAGGGTGGATTTTAACCTGAAGGGCAAGAAAAATTGGGTTATTGTCTAGGTGTGCCTCTGGCGAATGAGATGGTGTTGGTGTACTCCACTTATTGCCGCCTTGCCGTATCAAACCCCTTGCCAATAAAATCCCTTCCTTGGTGCAGAATCTTGGATTGCCGTTGACGTTTTTTCCAGGAACTTGCCAACACAAGGAGGATTTGGGAAATGAGAGGCGGATTCCAGTGATCGCGCAACTCGCTCTTCATCGAGTCACATATACATTGCCGTTTTCTATTCAGATGTGATAAATCTGGTGAATACGCAACAAAAACTAGTTCTCATAGGTTGGCGATTGTCCTCGTATACTAGCGTGCCTTCGATTAGACAGTGCCAGCCGCCCGCGTGATGCTCATTGTTGGCTAGCTCTGGAAGGAAAAAGCAGTCTAACGAACCCTGTTAGTACTGCATGTGAGGGCTGCAGTCGCGGTATATAGATTCAGGGCCGCCCTCGCCTCTCCCTAGCCGTTGGATCAACCCATCTTCCTTCGCTCAGGTGTCCATTCTTTTACCCTCGCTATTCATTGCCACTTGTGGTATTCGTCGATCGTTCAGCACTGCATTGTGCAATACCCATAATCAGTCGTAATCCACCACTACCACGTCGACATGACCCTGAAATACCTGTCGCTCGCTCTTGCCGCCGTGGCTGTCGCCTCGCCTTTTGAAGGATTCAAAAAAGACGATGAAGCTTCCTACAAGGCCTGCAAACCCAATGGCGCAACCACCGAGACACCTCCTTCGGTCGGACCAGGCCTCAGCTCGCTCTACACCAATGTCGTAGCTTCAGTTCAAGGCATCTCGTTTGAGCGGCGCTCTATAAATGAGCGCGCAGAGGGCTTCGCATGCCATCCTAGTCTCAACTGCGTGAACCTCCAGAACCTCAACATCCCAATGTGCTACGACAAATTCACGACAAACTTCCAATTCCCAGATGGCTCTTACGGCACCATCGCAACAGGAGATTACCATTCTGGCGGCATAGATGTAAACCTGATTAGTGGAAACTACACCAAAGACGGACAGAGCGCGAATATCTACTCTGGCAACGAGGCAGAGAGGCCAAATACATCGACCATGTCGATTCCACCGCAGTTCACCGGCACAGGTGTTGGTGGTGCTATTCCTGTGTCAGAACTGGGCTCGATTGTTGTGTTCACTACTACACTCCCTCCAGTTACCTATACAGCACCCACAACGGTCGCTGAATCTGTTGCTACGGCAACTGTGGGAGGACAGCAGATTGAGACTACGATCCCTGCTACAACCATCACACAAGCTACGACCATTGCCGGCAGAACGGCTGTTGTGACGGAGACGAGGAAAGATGCTCAACCCACCACAACGGGAGGTGCAGGACATGTCGGTGTTGATGCCAACGCCTCATTTGGAATGTCTCTTCTCGGTGCTCTCATGTACGCTTTGATCTAGCCTGATTAATCTCCAGACCAGACATTTGCAACACCCACACCATATGTACTTGTATATAGCAACGCTTCTAACGTATATACACACCCTTACATCCCCTCCAGCACCTCCCTAATCCTCCCAACCTCCTCCCCATCCACATCCTCCCCCTCTCCCGTCACAGCCGCAGAATGCACCCACGGCACCCCCGTCCTCCCCTTCACAACCTCAACATTCCCACTCCTCACCCCTCCCCCCGCAATAACCTCTATCCGCCCCCCAAACACCTCCTGCAACCCGCGTATCCTCTCCACCCCCTCCACCGCGCTCTTCTCCCCACCACTCGTCAACACACGTCTAAACCCGCATCGAACGGCCGCCTCAACCCCCTCGTGCAAATCCCTCGCCGCATCAATCGCCCGATGAAACGTGCACTCCCGCGGCGCTGCCAACCGCACTAGGCGCATACATCTCTCCTCATCCAATCTTCCCTCAGTGTCTAGAATCCCGAATACGAATCCATCAGCCAGACCCTTCAAGTTGGCGATTTCAGATTCCATCGTAGTGTACTCGGAAGCGCTGTATACAAAATCGCCGCCGCGCGGGCGGATCATGACGGTGATGGGGAGGTGGGTTGCGCTGCGGACGAGGGAGAGGGTAGAGAGGGGAGGGGTCGTGCCGCCGAGGGAGTACGAGGTGCAAAGTTCGATGCGCGAGGCACCGGACTGGGAGGCGGTTATGGCGGAGGGAGCCGTGAAGGCGGCAATTTCGAGCATTGGGTTGTCCTGGTGATGTTGCTTTGGGGGAAGGAGGGAAAGGAGGTGCGGGGTACGAGAGTTGGAGAGGTGCGGGGGTGGTGTGGGGGTGTGCTTGCTGTTTTCGGGAGGTGTGGTATGTGGAATGGGACTACTATGGGTTTAGAACAGATAACTCTGATAGCCTGGCGAGCGGGGCTAAAGGGAAGTGTAGATTGAGCTTCATTTCCTCTCTCTATCTATTAATTGATAGTCTTCGTCTTAAAGACGTGAGGGCCTTTCTCATTGCAAAGATTCTGCTCCTCAGGCTTTTCCAATACCAACCATGTTTAAATCAAAGCTTCTGGACTTCTTCTAATCTATCCGCCATCGCCCAACATATTGCGGCATACGAGAAAGATAAGTCGTCCTCATTTCCTTTTAGTTCTTCGAAACTCTCTTTTACAACTACAATAGTGTCGTCGAGAAGAGAAGCAGAAACCTTATAAAAGTTATCTCAAGATTGTGGTAAGTGAAGGCTCCCTTGCTCTTCTCTTTTACCTAACTTTTAAATTTGTCTTTAATTATTTACGGTTCAGTGTGAGATTTATCTTTTAAAGCCTAGTGTATGGTTGATCTAAGGCATCCGCGAGGTCAGGAGCTTAAGTTTCTCACCCTCCAACACCAAAGAGAAAATACCGTGTTTAAAGAAATTATTAGCATTAACTAGTTCACTATAAACCTCTAAGCTATAGAGAGAAGTTTTCAAGTTTTAGTGTCAAAGACGCTTTCTCAGTTTCTCTTTAGTTGCCTACTGTAACCAACTTTCTGAGCTAAATAACCTATATCAAGCCACTTTGGATATTCTGCTTGAAAACTGGGTCCTGCCTATCTAACTAAACCCTGAAGAGAAATATGGGACGCCAAAAACGATTGAATTTCTTATCGTTGGGCTAGTGCTAGCTAACGACCCTTCCAAGTACTCTACTAAAGGCTCTAGCTAGGCGCGAGATAGCGAGCGAGACAAGAAGGAGAAGGACATGGGAGTTCTTCTAGCAGAATCAAACATGCTAAGAGCTATGGTTCCCGTTAGTGAGACCATCTCCAGTGGAAGCATCAAATATTATGTCGCATGCCATTAGACAATAGGTCTTTGCAACATGCGACTGGTCACAAGCGACATAATCTTCTACTTCTCCGAAATCTAAGACAACATCTCTCACAACACCCAGATCGAACAGCGTCGAACAGCACTGGGCGCTGCCTGCAAATACCACGCAGCAAAGACCAAGAAGGAGGCAGAGAGAACTAAGATAGCCGTTGTCGACGCCAGCAACAGGAAGTTGTCCAATCGCCTTACCATTACTAGGTTAATAACCGAATCTAATGCTATATTTATACAGTATTGCATCTGGAAGATCACCGACGACCTAAGAACTGCCAAGGCTATGAGGAATACCCTGATCTGTTATGACGCTGCCATGACTTACCCTATTTGGGTATAGCGCCTTGGCTGGGATCCTGTATCCAGCCTCACCTCCGCAGTCCCGAGATAGGTACACTTGTACAATACTGTTTTGATATACCCGTCTGTTTTTGGAGGCTGTCCCGGCCGTGACATCTGGTAGCTGCTCCAGCTTTGATCTGCATTGCGCAGTGCCGCCCTCCCCCCTCTCGGCCTACATTGTGTAGCGTCGCCGAACGCATTGAGCGATCGACATCGAAACCGTGGCACCGTCAAGGTCCAGCCCGGATAACCAGCCCAAAGCAGGCCCCCAGCAGACTTTACTACCGAAAAGGAAAAAAAACCCTGTCTACAGTGTAACCTATCAGCTCTGCGAGTTGACGGCACCTAACACTCATTCACTCACGACCCAATGCCATCTCCGAACCATCCTCGAGTACCTTTGCTTCCACTAGCAATCAATTCGTGAACGGCAATGAAAGCCACGTTACATTCGCAAACCGTGGCGCGACTGACGTGAATATACGACGCACGACACTCGCCATGACCACGGCATATCACCCGCAAGCCGACGGACAAAGTGAGAGAACAAATTAAATCGTCGAAATCCTGCTCCGCTGTATGATTACCAACCATGATGCACCAGTGGTCAGCTGGGACGAATTACTGCCCGACGTACAGTTCGCTATCAACACCTCGCGCAACTTCACTACAGGGGAGACGCCGTTCAAGATCCTATATGGTATCCACCCGCGCGACGGGACCAACGTCCATCAGACAGACACGGGACTTGAATCAGCTGAACAATTCTATCGCGACCGGAGAGATATTAGAAATGAAGCAGAAGAGACCCTCAAGCTCACGCAGGCAAAAATGGCCATTTACTATAACCAGAAGCACTCACCAATCAGCATTGGAGACATGGTCTACCTCAAGGTGATGTGAAAGCTGAACAAAGGCTGCCGTATACCTCACTCCTCCGCCCTCGACGTCATCAAGACTGCCCCGTTCAAGGTGTTGGAACGGATTCGTAAAGGCGCTTTCCGACTCGACCTGCTAGCCCATATGAAGATACACCCGGTGGTCTTCACAGTCCATGTATCGCCGGCCCAAATAGACTCATATGGACGAGCTCCAGTTGCCGTGGGCCGAGTCACTAAAGCTGCGGACGACACCTCAACCCCAGATGCGCAGCAGCTGGCAATCACTCCCACATCTAACGCCTCTCCAGCCTTACCCACTGCCCCCGGTGAGACACAACGATACATCGTCGACCGCATCCTCACAAAGGAGCTACGACGCATGCTAGGTACGAGACAGAAGCAATGGCAATACAAAGTCAGATAGCAAGGCTACGACGCGTCTGAAGATTCCTTTGTCCCGGAATCGCAACTCCGCCAAGACGTCCCCGGGATAGTCGACGCATGGGAACAGCGTTACGGCAATCAGCGCCGGACGCGTTCTAACGCAAAGACTAACTAAGGACAACGGTTTCCACTGCAACAGCTTGGATAGGACAGCTCCGATACGGTTGTCAACTGAGGACTGCGTTGACTGTCATGGTTAGACGCGCCCTCACTCGACAACTGCACAGGACTCCCTACCCAAGGACAAGCTTTCTACGCCACCATGCGAGCGTATAGCCCAAAGCTGGCCCCATTCAGACCAAAATCGTCATTACGTCAATATTAACTCATTTTCCTGCCAAAAGGCACAGTCACCGCAAGAGCAAGTGAGAGCGAGAGCAAACAAACGCGCCAAGCCAGGCACCTACTTATATCAGAACTCTCACCCACAACCGATTTTACCCCACTACACTCACATACTCCCATACACCTTTACACTGATTCCAAGTCCTGTAAAGCATCTCTGCTTATCCCCACCACACTCACATACTCTCACACTCCCATACACCTCTACACTGATTCCAAGTCCTGTAAAGCATCTCTGCTTACCCCCACTCACTATCTCACTCCATACATCACACCGCAACGATGAACCCAGACATTCTTGAAGAACGCATCGGCATCGACCATGCAATCAAGATGGCTCACGTCAAGTTGCACGACGTCAACGGCAAAGTCTCCGTCTATCCGGTGATAGAGGAGTACTTTGAGTCTACTGACGAAGAAGACGAAGACGAGTCAGACGCCGGCGAGCCAGATACTAAGCAAGGCGACGCAGAGCCCCCCAACCCCAAGGGCAAGAGCGAAGCTAAGCTGAATTACAAATTCGGCAAAGCTAAGCCATCTGAGTTCCAGAACAACTATACGCATGCGATGGCTGCATACTTCGTGCCTGCACCGATCAAAGGCTTGATCACCGCCAAAGAGATTGAGTCTATGGACATGAACATCGCACCTCTTGTCATGACCGCCAAGGAACGCGAGGACTACGCTGAAGACTCGCCCTTCACCGCACCCGCCAACAGGTTGTTGGAATTCAAAGACGACATAAAGAAGCCTAACGCCAAGCCTGTTGACACCGTGGTGCACAAGCTACTGAAGATGAATCACCCTGACCTCGAGCCCCTAGCTGACGACCTCTGGCAAGCGGTACATGAAGCTAGAGGTAGAGGCATCCCGGTTTGGGAGCAAGTGCTGAACACCCCCAAGCTTGGTGGAGGCCGCCCCCGCTCTAAGTCACTCCCAACATATCGCGACAACACTACGCGGGAGCTCGACCGGGATGCAGTCACTACTGACCTCCGCAAGACCGCAGACGAACATGTCGTGATTTCAAGGCTGCAACCCGGATCAATCATGCACCCGACGGATGATCAGATCATGGCTCAACTGCATCACTTCTTAGCCAAACGCCCACACTGCCGCGACAAGAATGGTCACTTGCACGCAGACAAAGTCGAGTTGTTCCTCGAGTGGATGCGTTACACTCACCATTGGATGACCACCGTCAACGCCATTGAGCAAGTCATGCATCACAAGTTCCTGGAAGTGACGACGGGTCTCCTCCCAGTTAAGACCGCTCACTGCCAGATGCAAGCCGCAGACATCGCACACTGGAAGTCACTCACAGTCCTCCCCAGCAAGGATCGAGAGCAAAAGAAGAAGCAGGGTGACATGACTCGCGCCGAAGAGATGGCTGACTGCTTCGCGAGGCTTGAGGCGAAGGCTAACGCGAGGAAACGTATCGCACCCCTAGAGCGAAACGTCTGCAAGGTCCCGGAGGAGCCTAAGCAGTTTACGCAGAACCAAGATGACCACGTAACCCTCCAGATCGTTGAGCAGGCTGAGAACCGATCATTCGCTCGCCTGGGACACACTATCAACTACCTCGACGACTCCCTACCCGACGAACAGCCGAACCATAAGGCATACGTCGATCTCACATACGCGAACACATGCGGCCCCCATTCACAAGGTCAGCAAGACATTGAATACGTGCCTACTCACCGCATCGTCGACGTCACAGACCCGAAATGGTATCCATCGCTGGCAAAGATCTTCCACCAGACAGAGTACATCAAAGACTACTGGAAGGGCATGCATGCCGGTTTGGTGATGTCAGACTACAAGTTGTTCCTAATCACCATCAAGCACAACAAGGAACATTGCACTAGCAACGTGCATGCGCACAAGCAGGACGTGCCAAACCTAGTGAAAGACTTGCGCATCGTCACGCGTTCATCGCCAATTATCTTCATGCTTGTCCGATCACACAATATCGACAAGCTTATGCAAGGACTTATCAAGCGTTTCCATGACCTCGCCCATAATGACCCAACCACCGAATTCTACAAGTCGCTCAACAACCCATCACTATCCAACACCGGTGTGAAAGAGACGTCGCAGCTCCCAAAGTTCACCGCGCTGCCCCAGATGCATTTCGGTACTTGGAAAGAATTCAGACACGAAGTAGGTATCGGCGCGCTCATCGAACAACGTTTTCAGATGGGAAACCAAGAATACAACGCGAAGGCCGCTGTGGTCCCAGTGCCAGGGTCTTTCAACAACGACGCAAAACTCTACATGGCGTACCACTTGCAAGTCTCCGTGCGACACGATGCAAACAAGCCCCGCCTCATGCCGGGAGATCACGTTACTGTTGACATGAACCCCACTGCAGACACGCAGGCTGTCAACGAAGAGGTCTGGCGCGGCAGGGTCACAGAGCCGACCGGGGCCACAGCCATGGGCATGATCAACGTCATCGTCGAGCGACCATGGAAGAACGGCACCGTCGCAGACAAGATGGAGTACAACAAACTCCCGATGACGCGCTTGAAAATGATGAGCAACGGAGACCTCCTGACATGGACACAGAAGAACTGCAAGATGAACATCGTCATCTACACCAAGAACGTTGACAAGGAATGCAAGCGACTGATGGAGAACCTTGCGAGGATGACGCTTTCTGAAGGACAACGAGCAACCTACGCAGAGAAGGCCCGCCGCCTCGACGCAGCACGACAGATGCTGATCTGCACCGACCACGCGCAGTCCACAGCGACAGCCCTGTACGAAGACATTGAAGCTCAACACCGCCGGATCGCTATCGATTTCATCACCAAAATGCTCCATCCACACCAACAGGAGGAATTTGGACGATGGGTCGAGACTGGGGTGTATGACCGTACGATATGGCTCACTGGACTATCAGGCTCGGGAAAGACATACCTCGCCATGGCCACCATGCTACCATACCTCGGCAACGTCGAAGTGCCAGAGGAGCTTATGAACATCTCGAACCATGAGCAAGAATTGCACTTGCAGAAGCAAGTCGTCACTAAGGCAAAGAAGAAGGCCAATAAGGAGAAAGAAGACACCGCAAAGCCCACTGACGATGCATCAGAGTCAGCCACGAAGGGCAAGACGGAGAAGCAGCAGCAAGACCGCTACAAGGAAGCCCGAGACAATATGGCACCTCCCCAAGCATCACGCCGTACTGTCACCGAGCGAGGCCGAATCACAATCGCAGCTATGCAGAACGAGGCTGTCGACTCACAATACGTACTTATGTCGGCTATGGCAAAAGCATACTGCCAACAGATGGGGCTGCCAACCCCTCTGGTACTGCGTCTGCACAGCACGGAAGCCGAAGTCAAGGCAGTTGCAGCAATATCCAACCCGAACTACCATCCAACCGCAGAAGTTTCCCGCACAGCTATTAACCCGTCCGCCAAAATCACAGAGGATTTGTTGAATAGCCTACTGTCCGATTACTTGGCAGCCTTTCGCGGAGGATGCCCAGGTATCGCGGACCGACGCTTCAAGCATATCGAAGGATCAGCGGCTCGGTACATCCTACAGCTCGCACGATTTCCCGCGTTCAAAGCATCACAAGAGTTGCTCGATGCCTTCTCAGAGGAAGAGCTCGAGGCATGGGGCGAAGAGTTGAAACCCCTCCTCGACGCACGCTCAGAGCTGAGCAACACGAAGGGCAAGCCAAGTAAGGAGATCAAGGACAAGATTGCCACGGCGGCAAAGATAGTCCTAAATGTCCTCCTTGAGCGTGCCAGCGTGATTTGCACCACAGTCTCAGTCGCAACGCAGGCATCATTCAATATGACGCGTCGCACACACGTAGTCGCCCTGGAGGAAGCCGGACGTGCCAATGACGCAGAGACTGTCGGCCTTTTCTCACACTACTGGCATGCAAGCCTACGAATAATCAGCGGCGCAGTGAACCAACTCCGTCCTGCCGCCTTCGGGGATGAAAAGCAGAATCCGTTCTCTAAGCTCCTCACCGTCTCTACTATCGCACGCATCCAAGCAACGGGTGGTGTTGTCAGTCAGTTGGAAGCATCGTCCCGCTTCCACAATGAAGCCCTGTTCAAGCTCTGCGCACACGTCAACGCAATGCCAGGCATGAAGCCAGTGCAGGGAGCATTCAACGAAGAACTGTCAGAAAAGTATGCCGAGATTAACAAGAAGATCTGGGGCATCAAGTCAAATTTGATATTCCTCAACACCAAGAACATCACGACGCAGCGAGACGCCAATCGCTCTACGTACTGCAGGGAGACTGCCGCGGTCACAATCCAAGACGCAATCAACCGCATGGCATACATGGACGGCAAGGACCATGTCATTATCACACCATACCACGCGCAAGTGATGATGCTGCGACGCCAGCGAGACTACGCAGTAATGGTGGCCCACTCGACCCGCAAGAACGCGCTCGCGAAGAAGTTGCTAGACATTGAGATCGTGACAATCGACTCCTTCATGGGCAAAGACCGCGCATCAGTCACTGTCGACACCGTGGGAGCTGTCGGACACTTGTTTGAATTCGAGAGAACTATTGTTGCCACAACGCGGGCTCGCACTTCATGCCAGCTGGTCGGACCAACGATGGAGTATACTGCCCCCAACTCCAAAATCAAGCAGTCACATCCCTTAACACAAGCGATCCGTTACATGAACAAGAAAAAGTGGATTAGACTTCTAGAGTTCTCAGAGATCCGAGGTATGGAACCATACCGGACCGCTATGATGGCTGCGGGCCTGGGCGAAGAATGTGAAGTACAAGTATACGTGAAGGCATCAACGATTGCCGACGTCATCTATGGAGAAGCGGATCACGACCCAGTTGACCTCGAGATCATCGCGCGCATGAAAGAGATCAAGCCAAACACTACCAAGGCATGAAGGCATGGGCACTTCGGCAGAGAGGCACAAGGGAATCTGATGATGGATTTCAAGTGTGGACTTTGATCATGGGTTTTTATTATGGAGTCTTGAAGGCTATTTGTACAATAATAGGACTGCCTATCTTATAGTAGGGACTGCCAGAGGGCGTAGTAGGACGAATCGATGAAGCTAATGGCATTATGGATGAATGAAGCATAGTGCAAGATGGGTCTCCCATGCTACCGACAAAACCGGAAAATTAAAACAACTGGGCTTATCTTACTAACACCTACCATCCGCAACGCGAAATATCTCTACAACCACGTGCTTATTTTGTACTAAAATACGCGTAATTAAATGC